ACGGTGAATATTGAGAAATATGCAAACCTTAATCATGTCTATTGTCTTCTACGTTTTGGTACCACAATCCAACATGGTATCAGAGCAGGATTACTCCTGACTCTGACCAAAACTCAAAACCAAAACCAAACCAGACCAAGGCAAAGTTCAGAATCCTTACCTCAAGAAGATGACAGAAGAAAAGGAAAAGGTCCCAGAAAGTATCAACCTTGGACTGAAACTGGATGAATACAACTATCCAGTTTGGTCCAGACTAATGGAGTTCATCCTCGAAGGCAGAGGGAGGATCCACCACATCACCGGAGACCCCTCTCCTCCAAAAAAAGGCGAACAAAAGTATAAGCAGTGGAGAGAGGCCGATCTGATTGTGATGTCATGGCTCCTCCAAACGATGGAAACCCGACTTATGACCCGGTTGTCCAAACATCAGACCGCCAAAGCTATCTGGGATAGTTTGGCAATCACATACGGAACCACCATCGATCTGTTGCAAAGTTACGAACTTGAAGTACGAGCCAACACCATAAAATAGGGGGCTAGATCAATCGAGGTTTATTGGTCAGATATCACCAATGTATGGCTCGAAATTGATCAGAGAGATACAAATCCCTTTGCAGGGTGTGAAGAGGGTCTGCAAATTTACCTGAAAATCGTAGAGCAGAGGCGATTGTTCCAGTTTTTGTCCGGCCTCGATGGCACACTCGACGGAGTCCGTCGAGATATCCTCAAGGAGACTCCTCTACCATCAGCCGAGGCGGCATTCTCCAGAGTCCAGCTTGAAACCGGCCGCCTCCACAGTCGGCAGTCCAACCCAAGCCAAGGACCGGAAATCACCCAGGTCGGCGCCGGATTCGGAGCGAAGGGACAGAGGAAACCGACGACTAAAGAGAAATTGGATCGGTCGAAATTGGTGTGCACACACTGCGGGATGCGGAAACACACCAAGGAGGAGTGCTTCAAGCTAGTGGGCTACCCAGAATGGTGGGGAGAAGGTCATCGGACCTCCGGGAAGAGCGGCGTTGCAGTCAGCGTTGCAGTCCAGGAGAAATCGGGGCAAACTCCATTCGATTCCTCCAAGGCAAACACGCAAGGGACGACCACCGTCGGTGGATTTGGAGGGATGGTGACCGGCGGACAATACCGGCGCAGGGAGGGGGAAGGCTCAGAGACGACGAATCATGGGGAATCGACGAGAGGTACTGGGTTTGGCCAAAGGCCAAACCCTAGATTTCTTTATAAACAATGGCATTCCAATTGTGGCCCTCATGGTTCATTTAATTCGGTTTTAAACCCCAACCCTTTACTATATAATTTTGTTTCGACCCCAACTCATAATTCATTTTCAAAAACTAACCCCTCACTTGCTTATATACTATCAAATTATCCCACCAGAAAAAATAGCCTCTCTCACACATGGATATTTGACTGTGGAGCAACCGATACCATGTCCTTTGACAAATCTGATTTTATATCCCTATCAAAACCAAATAAATTTTTTGTCCAAACAGCTGGGGGGGACCTTCTTCCGGTAAAGGGATCAGGCACTATTCGAATTTCCCCTACTCTAAGACTTTCAAACTGCCTATTTGTTCCGTCTTTGTCACAAAAACTATTATCCATTAGCCATGCCACTCAAGAACTTAATTGCACCCTACTGATTAATCCTTTCTTTTGTCTACTTCAGGATATCAGGACGAAGGCGATTATTGGGCGTGGCACTGAACGACATGGACTGTATTGTGTGGAAGATATTGGACAAACTGGTACCGTATTACTCACTCATGGATCCGCTGATCGGAGACTTTGGATTTGGCATAGGCGGTT